AATTCGCTGCACGCTCAGGCAGCTCCCTAACAACCTAGGGGGCAAGCAGAAGTGTCATCGTCACCGCCTCCAATTATAAATTCCCAGGCGATCGAGATGCAATTAAGAGGATTTATGATGATCCCATCTGCCTACTGGCTAGGCCTCACTACAAAAAACCTTTCTCGGACTACATTCCTTTGGATCATCTGTTGTCCTGCAATGCTCGAATCCCCGAGTTCACGCTGTTTTTAGGGGAAGATTTCTGCTCCACCATCGAGCATGTTAAATTTAGGCCTCAGTGCGGAGGAGAATACATGAATAATAATTGGTATAAACTCCAGCTTTTTTTTTTCTTTTTTTTTTTTCTGTCTTTGACAGGTCTATGAGCGCTTCTACAACCCTTTTCCAGAAGTGACCGTTTCAGATTTGACAAATTTGCGTCAGCATGGTGAAAAATATGTGGAGCAGTTCCTGGAATGCTTTAGGAGGTTGAAAAATAGGTGTCAAGTCCGCATACCAGAGAACTATGTGGTGAACATGGAAATCGACAACATGACGCACCGGCTGCGTGATAAACTGGCCCTCCAAGAATACAGCTGACATCCAAAGCTGCGAAGGCCGAGCAGCTCGTGAAAGAAGCTTAAACAGCGGGAAATCAGAAGTCCTATAATGGAAATCATTGTTTCTATGCCCAAGAAGAGGCTGCCGAAGTCGAGGAGAAACATGAGGAGACTTTCCTAGCCGAAATTTCTCAAGGGAAGGCATATACATGTCCGGCTCTTAAGCCGCCCCGACGGAATGAGGTGAATTTGAAGGTATCCTACTCTTTTGACATTGCGAAAACAGAGCAGATTTTTTAGTACTTATTGAAAGACAACCAGCTCTGCCTCAAAGTGGCCCATAAGATTCCAACTGAAGAGAAGCTAAATGGAAAATCTTTTTATAAGTGGCATAGAGTATATGACCATCGGATCAATAATTGCATTCTCTTCATGAATACGGTCCAAAAGGCTATAAAAGAAGGTTGTCTCAAGCTGGCCGATAAGCCGAACATGAAAGTAGACACGGAGTTGTTCTCCGCGCCGATAAATGTCATTTGAGTGCACCCAGCCAGGTCCAGAAATTCAAATTTGGGGTCTGGAGCAAATTATATGAAAGCAGACCTTCAAAAATCAGTGTTCGAAAGACTCAGAAAATTGATCAAACCTCCGAGAAGGATCTCAGTGTGGGACAAAATTTTTCCCACCAATACGGTCGCCGAAGTGAGCTTCGAAAAAGGCGGTGAGGTTTTGCTAGTGACCTCAGTGGATTAGGTGGTAATTACAACACATTAAACCCGTATTTTTGGGAAGGCCCCAAACGATAGAAGTTGGATCAGAAACTAGAAGGAGCGGGTGGTGTGACCTCTTACTATGACCAAAAAAGAGAATACAATGACAATGTTTGGCCGCTCGCTTCTCCCAAGAGGATCACACTGGGGGATAGCAGGCTGATGACCATGAAGGTCAGGCTGGGGGCAGCAGACCCGAGACCCATAAGAAGTTCTCGCTGGAAGGCTGAAGCTTGGTCGAGGGACCTTCTCACCAGCTTCATGCCCGAAAGAAATAGAGACCAAAAGGTGTTTTAGCAAGGATTGAATATCTTACCGAGCCACACTTTATTGTAACACTAGGGAAGGACCAGATTCCAGAAAACGAGCCGATGATCGGCTCTCTTGATTGTGATAAGGCATCGGAGGCTAGCTTGGGCATTATTGCTTCCAACCAAGACCTTGAACGAGCTTTGCTCTATGAGTCTGATTTCAATGTTAACACGATAAGGGTGTTGCCCCGAGAATTCTAAGCCCCTCAGGTTTAGCTTGATTATCTCTAGGGGATGTGATGTTGGAAGGAGCTGGTCCATTATATTGGGTGGAGTAAGATGCCGACATTCTAGAAAAGGGTCTTGAACCAGTAATTTTTCAGAAGTTGGCGGACGAAAATACTCGCCATTTGAAACTCTTATTCCTCATGGTACATCTTGACGGGCGGACGGTCAGCAAGGTCCTATTCGACGAAGAAGCTCCCGTCAATGTGTTGACTCTATCTACCTTGAGGAAAATCGGAAAAAATAGGAATGATCTCGTCCCAACAACAATAAGAACGACTTATTTCACCGGAAACGCACATACAACAGCAAGTGTATTGGTGGCCAATGTGACAGTCACAACAAGGACGGATCAGATGGCTTTTTTTGTCATCGAATGAAGGCCAACTTACTCGGCCATCCTCGGGAGGGACTGGATCCACACCACCCAGTGGATCCCCTCGATGTTGCACCAGAAGCTTATATTTTGAAATGGAGGCCGAGGCTGATCCAGCTATGGAGGTTCATTCCAAAGAGGTTGTATATTATTCCCCCAATGTCTACCTGTTGTCCATGATACTAGAGGATGCAAGAATGTGGAAAGAATGTAATATAACCATAAAGGGGTTTAAATTTAAAGTCGAGGCCGACGCACGACCTAGTAACTAAGGTATTTATCATGTCTGGAAACCTAATTCTATAGGATTTGGAGGCAAGATCAGGTAGGTCCGGTTGTCCTTTCATATGGTTTGGACATCATGCCACTGACCCTTTCGGCTGGCAGGCAGGGATATCCTCCCAACCGCCTATTTGCGATCAAGCTGAAGATGATGTTTATTTTTTGATTCAAAGGGCTGCTCCACCTTTCGAAGCACAGGATCCGTTGGAGGAGGTCAACCTAGGGGATGAAACAACCCCTCGGATGACACAGATCAGTGCCCTGCTCAATGTCGAGAAGAAAGAGAAAATAATTGCTTTGATTCGAGAGTTTAAGGATTGTTTCGCATGAGATTACCACGAGATACTGGGGCTGTCAAGGAGCCTGATGGAGCACCAACTACCCACCAAGGCATCGTATGGGCCTCACAAACAACCTCTAGGCACTTCAATCTAGAATTGTTGTCGAAGGTAAAATAGGAGGTCAAAAAACTTTTTAAAGCTAACTTTCTCCGAACATGCAAGTACCGGAGAGGACTTCCAATATTTTACCAGTAGTGAAGAAGAAGGAGAAGATCCAGATCTTCATTGACTTTTGGAACGTCAATTTGGCAACGCCGAAGGTCGAATACGTAATGTCCATCGCCGACATGCTCGTAGATTCCACTGATGGATATGAGATCCTTTCTTTTATGGACGGGTACTCTGGCTATAACTAGATATATTTGGCCGGGGAAAACACCCATAAAACAGCTTTCCGCTGCCTCGGCGCAATCAGAATCTTCGAATGGATAGTTATGCCCTTTGGCTTCAAGAATGACGGAGCGACCTACCAGAGGGTGATGAACGCAATATTCCACGATCTGATCGATACTTGCATAGAGATATACATAGATGATGTGGTAGTGAAGTCTCAGGCATTTGATTACCACCTGCTAGACCTTCGAAAGGCCTTTATGGGGATGAGGCAACACAACCTCAAAATGAATCCGACAAAGTGCACATTCAAAGTACAAACAGGAAATTTCCTAGAATTTGGTTCATCAAAGGGGCATCGAAGTTGAAAAAAATAAGGCCAAGGTTGTCCAGGACCTTGGGCCCCCACGCAATGTTAAGGAGCTACAAAACTTGATGAAAAATGTAAATTTCTTGAAGAGTTTCATCGCCAACGTTGCCGGGAAAAATGAAGGCCTGATCGGTGCTACTGTGTGGGAATAAAGAGTTGTTCGAGTGGGGCACAACCCAGGAAGAAGCTCTGGACCAGATTAAATAGGCATTATCATCACCTCTGGTGTTAATGTCGTCAATCAATGGAAGTGAGTTGAAGCTGTACATAGTCGCCACGGATGACACAATGGGTTGTCTCTTTGCCTAGGACGATGATGAAGGTCGAGAGCGAGCTATTTATTATCATAGTAAGACCCTAAATGATGTTTAAACTCATTATTCGTATATCGAGAAATTTTATTTATCATTATATAATGCATGCACGAAATTGAAGTATTATTTGATGTCGGTTGAAACTAAAGTCATATGTAAATTCGACCTTCTACGCTATTTATTAAACAGGTCGGTCCTCCAAGACTGTTTAGTTAAATGGACGTTAAAGTTGATATTATTCACATTAACATACCAACCCCTTAAGGCTGTGAAAGGACATACCATCGCAGATTTCTTGGCCAAACATCTTGAAATGGTTCAAACCCTTCTTTTGGACTATGTGAGATTGAAGTCTTGACTGGTGACTTTCGATGGATCCAACACCTTGGGAGTAGCCAGAGAAGGCGTGGTGATCTCCAGTCCAGAAGGAAAAGTATGGCATTTTTTCCCACTAACTTCTGCAAGGTTTTACGAAGAATCAAGCTAAGTACGAGGTGTTGCTATTAGCATTTCGATTCTTGGTCGCAAAATATGCCAAGAAGGTTGTTATTTGAGGATATTCTCAGCTGGGTAGCCCTCAAGCACTTAAGGAGTTCAAGTATAAAGAGCCATGGCTTCAGGACCTCACAGAGGTGATGCTAGAGGATTTACTTCGGAAAGAGAATTTAGAGGTAAACGACTTGGCGCAGTGGGCTCCTAGATTTAAAAGATAAGAAATACGGCCAAGATACGAATGTGTACAGTCGGCCCAGAATCCATATTGCTGAACCCCACTGCTAGACAGACCTTGGGATGGTCGCTTTAAAAGAATGAGCCATCAATTCCTAAAATACACCTAGATCGATGGAGAGTTGTATCGGAGGAGATCCGATGGGACTTTAGCACATTTTCTGGGTCACGAGGACGCTATGACGGTTATGTCCGAGGTCCAAAAAGGTATTGGAGGTGCCCATAGGGCTGGACCTGCTATGATGTGGACAATCCTCAATTATGATTATTTTTTGCCACAAATCTCGCAGGATTGTATGGATTATGCTCGGAGATGTCCAACATGTCAGCGTCACTGGCCGCTTCGATGAGTCCCTATGGAAGAACTTTATTCGATTATTAAACGTTGGCATTTCCATGGATGGGCGATGGACATCATCAGCAAGATTCATCCTTCATCTTCCAAGGGGCATTACTTCATTCTCGTAGCTACCGACTACTTCACGAAGTGAGCGGAAATTGTTCTATTGGCCAAGGTACAACATAATCAAGTCATACATTTTATTAAGAATAACATTATTCACAGGTATGACATTCCCAAGACAATAACCACCGACCAAGGGACCACATTAATGAGCGCGAAGGTTAAGCCCTTTACAGCCCAATACTGGATCCAACTGCTTCATTCCTCTCCGTATTACCCACAGGCTAATGGGCAAACCGTGGCAACAAAAAAAAAAATCTTGATTTCATTATCACGAAGGCGTTGGAGGACAATCCGAGAGATTGGCATGACACTTTTGAGGAGGCTTTATGGGCGTATCGGAATGCCAAATCCCCTGTAATCGGAAGCCCCTTTAAAGGCATACTTACGACCATGGTATTGTGCTTCTGTTAAGATTACAGTGCTTTCTCTCCGAATTTTGAAGATGAACCAACTGTCAATGGGAGAGCAGGACCAAGCCTTGCTCTAGGATCTTAACGCCTTGCCCAAAGAGAGGTTGTAGGCTCTTGAATACATTCAACATCAGAAAAGAAAGGCCGAATTGACCTTCCGGAAGCACGTAAGGCCCCAAAACTCCCAGGAAGGAGACATAGTATAGAAGGCCATCCTTCTAGAAGATCCCAAAAAAACGAGAATCGGGAAATAGTCTCCACATGGGAAGGGCCGTTTATCGTATCGGCTAAGTCATCTAGTGGCGCATATAGATTGATGGACCTTGAAGGGGAGGATCTAAAGGTGTTTATCAATGGAAAACATCTTACAATATTCTATACTTCTCTTTGGGAGCTGAAAGGAAGGCACAAGTTAACAATGACCTTTCAGAAGCAGAAAAAATAGTCGGACAGGCCGAGAAAGCATGGAAACACCAAGTATTTGACAAAATCATCAGGACCAAAAGTTAATTCTTGTCCAGATGATTTTGTGGATGACACTTTTACACACCAAAATTTAATTGGGCCGGCCCAATACTGGCACAACCCAAAATGAAGGTTCGCGGCCCAACATGCGACCCAAATTAAAAAATGGGCCTACGCGTCCAACCAGCCCATTGACCAAGATGACCCAGCTCTGGAAGCAGCCCAATGGAGGTGACTAGGACCTGGCTGAGAGGTGGAAAAAGTAGTTAGATTTTTTGGAGGAAAAAGTGAGATAATATTTTATCCAAACAAAAAATTAACAAGTTTCAAATAAAAACAAGATAAAGAAGAGAAGAACATACGTCATTCATAGTAACCCTCTTCTTTCTTTTAATTTTTTCTATGCATTATTTTTATTTATTTCTTTTCTAGATTTTTACAGCTTTCTTTTTATTAATTCCAGTTTAATTTCTATTTTCGTTCTTATTTTATTAGCTTTATTTTTCCTTTCATTAATTCTTATCCTTATACCTTAAACCTCAACCCCTAAACTCTAAAAGATTTAAGCATGATATACATAGAGAGAGGGTGAGAGAGATAAAGACACAAAGAAATGAAATGGCTGGAAACATGAGAAGATGAAAGCACGCAAATAAAGACACAGTGAAATGTAAGGATATATATATATGTAAAATTTTTGGTAAAAAGTAGCTATTTTATGTGCGAGTATGGATGATTTTGTGTATATATGCTATTTTATGTATATGTCATACCCATACATACATACATACATATTCTTCTACCCAAAGTGAATTGAGAGTGACGGTTCCACAAAAATGTGTTTTCCTATTTGAAAAACCAAAACTGAACACAAATGATATGTGCAGCAATAATAAATGCAAACTCTCAAAGTTTGTTGTGTTCAAATATTGTCGTCTGCTTGTCTTTTGCACGTTGAACATATTAAAGAAAGATCTGTGCAAAATGAAACGAAACAAACAACACACTGAAGTTTGTTTATCCAATTTGGCCCTCAACCGGCCTACGTCTGGGGGTACCAACCCTTGCAATTCCATTGTGAGTAAAGCAGAAACAAGATACAAAAACTTTTCACACAAACTCCACAAATCTCTAGTTACAAATGCTCAACTAAAATGTATTGGTTTCCCTACCACATACAAGTGCACATTCCTCCGCAAAGGCAAGCATGCATAGCCGCAACCTCCGTTGGCTTATGATCTGAGATGCGACGAGGGTGTAGGCATTTTCGCCTTTTCCTCCTTCAACTGTCCTTGGATCCCCTTGCACCAAACAAACACTTGGCAATTTGTCGACACAGTAGACAACATCGATCCCTTCAGGATATTCTTTCAGCTTTAAATCTTCAGCAGTTTCGATCAAGTTTAGACCCAATATAATAGACAAAAATCCTACTTAATTCTCCACTCAAAACATGGTCTAACCTCACACAAAAATTTCTCAAAAAAAATGAAAACGCTCCTTCTCAACTAGAAGTGAAACTGAATCTATTTAAACATGTGATTTCAGCCTTTCACAAGGTGGAATGAACTCTCAAGGTTCTCAACTCTCACCTCACACTATGCTCACGAAAATACTATAATTTTCTCTCAAATAAGTGATAAAAAACTTAACCTAAACAATCCAATGAGGCATGTATATATAAAATATACAAGTCCTCATTTGGCGAATTAAAAATTGATACCACAAGCTTCTAATGGGTCAAACAACTTTGGATATATCCTAAGACATGTTTCTGGCCATAAGAGTCGAATTTTGACATGTCTATTTTGTCATAAATGTCCTACGGGGAAGAGAGCCAAATGTTACTTCTTTTCATAATAGGTGTTAGAAACATTTTCTTTCTTCATATTTGACCTCCTATTTGCATAGAATCTTGTTGGACAAAGTCATTTTGTCTTTGGTTACAATATCATAGTGAGATACACATTTTGTCTTATCTTTGATTTTTTTTATTGTCCAAAACATTCGGCCTCGAACCAAGACCTTGAACAAGGTTGCAGTTCTCCAAACAGATTATTGATCATTTAATTTGTCTGTGGATCAAAAGGGATTGAGTGTCCCTTCTTCTTTTTTTTTTTTTTCATTTCTTTTTTGACTTTCCAAGTCAATTATAGCATATTTTCTCTTGTGTTTTTTGTCTCTAAAAAATTGCAGGATTTGAATTGTATTTTTATCTTTCAAAAGACTTTTTACAGCTTATATATTTCATTTCAGCGGATAGCGTAGTAGACAGTTTAACATCAGTTGGTTGTCTGAACATCCATTCATTAAACAAAATTTCATACCAACATGGAATACCTGAAAATTAAATCAATCAATATCATTAAATTGGAATGAGGTCTCTATCTTCACGGTGGCATGCCTACTTGGTTTCTAACAGTCGCTCACTGTGAACGGCTGGCTTTCCGTTCGGATCAGCGGCTGGTGTGGTTCAGCCTTTTTAATTAGTAGTACTCGCTAATATTTGTGTTATGTATGGAGCAATCAACGTAAAAAAAAAAAAAAAAAAGAAAAAAGCAATATTAAAAGTGTATTTTTTATTTGCGTTTTAAACATAAATCAAAATTATTAAATCAACATAATTTCATAAAAAGATATTATCAACATAATTCCATAAAAATATATTATTATTTTTTTATATAAAATAATACTTCCTCAATCTCACATAAATTATCCATATTTTTAATTTTTGTTCATTCCACATAATTTGTCCCTTTTTTAAAAAAAATATAATTATATATTTTAATCTCATTATAAATTTCATAATTATTTATAATTAAATGTATAGCTAGCTTTGTTAAAAAAATAATTAAAAAATAATTATATACAATTATCAATAAAAAAGTGAAAAAATAATATAAAATCTTATGATATTGGAAATTTTAAATAATATATCAAGCTCCTTCGAATATATATAAAAGATATAATAGTTTAAGATACTATAATATACATAATTATCTATAAATAATTAAATGTGTAGCTAGCTTTGTTAAAAATAAAAAATAAAAAGAAAAATAATTAAATGTGTAGCTAGCTTTGATTAAAAATAATAATAATAATAATAATAATGATTAAAGATAGTTATATACAATCATCAATAAAAAAGTGAAAAAATAATATAAAATCTTATGATATTGAAAATTTTCAATAGTATATCAAGCTCCTTCGAATACATATAAAACATATAATAGTTTAATATAAAACATATAATAGTTTAAGATGCTATCGTCAAATATTATATTTCTTACAAAATATTATTTAACAAATATTTTGGCTCCATTTACCAATATATATATATATATATATATATTGGCTCCATTTACATAGAGTGTATGATTGAAATTTGATTTCTAAAATCTACTTTTAAATACTTTTTTTTTTTTCAATTGAAATACTATTTTATCATAAAAAAAAATATATGTATTAGCTTTCTATATATATATATATTATAAGAAAAATAATTAAATCATACCATTTTTACTATTTTCAATCATTTTTTTTAAACAATTTTTTTTATTAAAAATACAAAACATAAACACTGATATCACGTTAAAACTCATGTTCAAATTAAATGAGTCTATTGTTACGGGTTGACAGTTTGGTCTAAAATTTTTTGACATAGTCAATCTTATCTCATGTGTGCGAGTCATTTGTTCGGTAAAGAGGATTAACGACATATGTTGTGGTAGATGTACGAGTTCTACATAATTCTTTCATACTTTATAATATGCCTAGGTTTGTTGCGCACAAGGGACGGTTGTTTTGGGCCTCCAAGCAGGCGAGACCTAGGCGTCGGGCGTATCGGCTTCCGAGAACGTTACATATGATATCAAAAAAGATCCTGACGTTGGTGATGAACGAAGAGGACGAGTAGAGTATGCTCTGTGGGAGAGCATGCTGGCAGCACATCAGATATGAATATGTCCTATCGGAGCTGGACAAACTTATCTAAAAAACCAAATGTGTAACGAAAACTTGTTATTTTTTATTATTATTATTATATATATTACAATTTTAACTTTTTTTATATATATATTTTTTTATCATATTATAATTTGAAAAAAATAATTATAAAATCAGGTTCAAACCAGATCGAGTTTGAGTTTCAGGTTATTCGGTGACTTAATTTTCATATTTCGGGTAATCAAGTCAATCCAAAACTCGACTTGATCCAACCCCATTTTTTTCGTTTCGATTTCAGGTCGACATGATTTTTCGTGATCTCCTTTAACATTTAAAACCATAAGACTCTTTTGGATTGGTCTCACTACTATAAAGATTTGTAGAAATGATTTAGACGTCAGAGTTATTGACGTGACAGTATTGTAGGACGTCGAAGATTGTATGAATGACATATGGAAAACATCTGAAAAATATTTTACGACCATAAATAGATTTTGTATTAAATCCGACATTGTCCACATATCATTCACACAATTTC